TAATAATAATAATAATAATAATAATAATAATAATAATAATAATAATAATAATAATAATAATAATAATAATAATTTATTTTTTTATTACCAACTTGTATCCATGGCATTATGATTATTGCCATTGCCACATCATTACCACCACTACCATCATTACCACTATCACCACCACTGCCACCACCACCATCATTACCATCATTACCACCTTTAGAGCTTTGTTCCGAATATTCAAACCTTGCTCGATGTACACCAAAGGTATATCATTAATAAATAAATTTCTTTATTGTTAATTATTATTTCTCTAATTCTTCGTATTCATAATTATCAAACAATAAATTAACTACTATTATTATTTTGAAATTTTGACTATGTAATTAGAGATTGACCCGGGTTGGGTCCAACCGGGTTATGAAAATTACCACCCGGGTGGAGAAAAATGAATGTAACACAATGGGATGCCTGATTTATAAATTCAATTTTTTTTTACATTTCATATGTATTAATCAACATTTTTAATACGGATTATCCAATCTCTTATAAATAATGATTTGATCAACAATATCATTAGTTACATATTTAATATATACTAATGAATTATTTTTGTTTTTTGGATTTTGTGTAATGTCACAATGACATTTAACATCATCAACATTTTTATTTTTTTATATTATGTTATATTTATCGTATGTATTTTTAATACAGATTATCCCAACCTCTTATAAATAATAATTTAGTCAACAGTATTGTCAGAGTTGCCTTGTTACATATTAATATATTAATGTTTTTGAAAAAGAACATTGAATGCGAATTTCCATATAATATATACCACAATGATGTTTAACATTATAATTATGTCTGATTTATAATTCGTTTTTATAATAATTCAAACAGTTTATATTGTAAAGTTTGGAATTAATAAAAAAAATAAAATTTTTATCATTTATGTAAATTAAATCCATATATAGAAAGATCTACTCACTCCGTCGGGTAAACCCGTGGGTCACTCGGGTGAAGTTTTTTTAGACGGGTCCAATCTCTACATTAACATGTAATTTTAAAATTCTAAAATTAATAAAATTAATAAATAACTATAAATCAGTCCTTTATAATTAAAAGCAAATTTTTTCTAACACAACCTTCCAAGTGGTTGTAAGCGACTTTGTAGGGAACACTTTGGCACAACTGTTGCTGCTGAATTTGCATTAGTCTGCATACTAATTGAGCGATAATCTTAAAATAAGTGTGAAGAAAAGAAATGCTTCCGACCTGGCATAGAATAACCAATATTTAAGCTAGCCTTTTCTTTTAACTGTTGTTAAAAGTCCCAATCTGGCTCTGAAAATCGCTTGCTACATGAAAAACGGAGATTTTTTTTGAAGTGGACGATAATAATTTTATTCGTGTAACGTTTATAATTGAATGACACTTGATCTGCAATATCCCGCGACTAATAAACTCAATTAATTTGTCGATCATTATTGACCAATCACAAAGAAATTCCGTTATGCTTTCAATTTATTTATTATTATTATAATAATATTTAATTTTGCATTTTTCAAATCGATATAGATAAATAGATAGAACATATAAACAGATAAACCAAAAGATGTATTTATACATTTCCATAATAAAACAACTTTTTTTTATTTTATTAATCTGCATACATGTTGTCGAGGTTATACCATTGGGTACAGATGAAGAGGATCTTAATAATTCAATGGTAAATTTGTTTTTAAAAAATTTATATGATAACAATAACAAATAATAAATATGTAATAACGACAATAAATATATGCATTTAAGGTCATAAATCTACTGCAAGAATGTTTTTCAGACCACATGTTTAATTACGACAAATATTTAAGTATAAGTTCTGATCAGTTGAATTCTATAAAGCATGATGATTCAATGCCAATAGAGGAAAAAAAAGAAAAGATAGATATTATTAGTAATGAATTGAATCACATCGAATCGCTAGAGAATCTTACATTTGGATTATTGGAATATTTTTTTAAACTCGTTGAAGAATATCAGAATGGTGATGTAAAGTCACGGTCTAATTTTAAAAAAGAAACACTGAAATTAATTTCAACTTTTCACAATTCTGCATTAAAAATGAATGATACAGAGTTTTTCCAACATTTATTAAATCAATATCATCCAAACGGAAACATAAGGCACGAAAAATTAATCAATAATCATCAAAAAATTAATGAAGTGAAAAAAGACAATTTAGCTTTAGATTTGGTTGATGACATGTTAAAAGAAGTCAGTGATTCTGCCGATCATCTTGAAGAAAATATGAATAATAATAAATTTGCTGATAATCCAAAGATGCACGGATCTCTTGAAACTGTTGTTAGATTGGAGGAAGATGAAGGCGATTTTTTTTCAATGAATGAACAGGAAGGTGATTCAATTAATGATGACGAAATACATAGTCATCATAGATTAGTTGGATTAGTTGATCGTGATAATAATGAATACGTTCTTACTAGGCCTCATGACTTAACTGTCTTTTACGAAGGTAAGGGACAATGTGTAATTTTTTTCATATTTTTAGTTTAATGATTACAATAATTCTCTTATCAAAATATTTCAGATGCACAACTTTTACGAGATATAATTGTTACAATAGTTTCATCTTTTGTATTTGGCTCAATTTCAAATAGTATTGGATTACCAGGTATATATTACATTCCAATATATAAATGTGTGTCACACATATACATTAGTTGTTATCTAATTAAATTATATGATTAAATTATTATTAACATATTTGAAAAAAACCAAATAAGCGTTTTTGGGCTATATTATCGCTGGGTGTTTACTTGGGCCTGCAGGATACAACGTAATTCAGGTAATTAACTAATTAATCAATTTAATTTAATTGATTCTTTAATATATAACAATTAATATTATGATAACAATTAATATCATGATAACAATTTTAGGAATTAATTCAAACAGAAACATTATCACAATTAGGAGTTGTCTTTATTGTGTTTATGTTGGGACTTGGATTTTCATTTGAAAAACTTAAATCTTCATGGAAATTTGCACTTGGTAGCGCATCATTGATATTCATTTCAACACTTAGCTTTTTTATTTTTTCTGGTTTCATCATTGGAGCAAGTATCAATCAAGCTATTTTTATTGGTGCATGTGTATCACTCTCTAGTACAACTGTTGTTGAACGTTTGAAATGTCAAGAGCTTGAACCATTGTATGGTTTATTGGTTATGCAAGATATTTTATTTGGACTTTTATTGGTATTTTATTGGTATTTTATTGATTTTTGAATTTTAAATTTTATGATTATATTAATTTTATTTATTATATAAATATATATAGGCAGCTTTACCAGCACTTTCTAAATCTGGAATTGATGTGATTTTAGCTATTGGTCATTTACTTTTATCTTTAATGGTGTTTTTTGGGTTAAGTTATATAATCACAAAACTTCCAGTTGCTTGGATTCTTAGAACGACCAAAAAAAGCAATAATCACGAACTCTTCCTTCTTGGCTCAATATCATTATGTTTATTGATGTCACAGTTTTCACTTTTACTTGGTCTTGGTGTTGAAATTGGTTGTTTTGTTGCAGGAGTGTTTATACATAATTGTAGATATATTATTGATTCTTCAATTGGCGTGGTTGAACCAGTTAAAGATTTGTTTTCATGTTTATTTTTTGCCAGCATAGGACTTCACATTTATCCCAGTTTTTTGATTAATGAAGCACCATTATTGCTTATACTTACTGCGGGAGCTGTAGGATTTAAATTTATTAATAGTAGCCTTGCATTAGCGATATTAGGACATCCAATTCAACGTGCTTCAACAATGGCAGTTGGTTTGGCTCAAATTAGTGAATTTGCATTTGTGCTTGGAAGTCGTGCAAAAGGATATGGAATCATATCGAGAGAAGCATACTATCTTCTATTAACAACTACTTCTTTAACACTTGTGGTAACACCGATATTATGGAATATATTATTCAATAAAAAAAAAGATTTTAATAGTAGTATTGGTGGTGGCAATACAGGTGGGGTGATACCTTTTTCAATAAACAATCCTGGAAAGGTTGAATAAAACACCTTTTTATATAATTAATTTTAAAAATAATAATAATTGATATAATAATGAAAAACCTTAATGTATTTTTTTTTTGGTATTTATTAATAATATATTGATTGATTGGATATTTATTATGTAATATTATAGATAATTTTATTATTATTAATAATGTTATTTTTAATTTTGTAAATAGTAAATATGATTGGCATGAAATATACGAAAATAATATATAAACGAGGGTTTTATCAAAACTCCACAAAATTTATGTTCGTTTTTAACACATTGTTCATATTTACCTTTGGCAATTCCCAAAATAAAAAAGGAAACCTATGAAATTTTTAGTAAAAATAGACAGTCTTAATAGGACCTCGGACAATTATATTTGAACTGGTATGTAGCAGAACATATAAAAAGTTGTAAATTCTACCCCAAAAATT